ATTCACCTGCCTCGGCCTCCCAAAGAGCTGAGATTACAGGCGTGAGCCACCGTGCCCGGACAATTCTATGTAATTTTTGCAAATAACAGATGGTAGGAATTAATATTTCACTCTGCTCCCCAAGCCCCACAACTCCTCCTTCAGATTTCAGGAGAAACTCAAGTGTTCTCATCATGCACTAATTACTAAGGCAGTGTCCTGGCAGAATATTCCAGAAATATTTTCAACAACTACTAAAAGGAAACTTGTTTCATTGTTACCACCCATTTTACTAGAAAATCAACTTACCAGGAATACTGTTTTCTCTGACACTCCTGGTTAATTGATGTATTGAGGTAATAAAAGGTTCCTATTTCTTAAGACGACATATTGCTAACATCCAAGATTTGCAAGAGCTTTGAGTCTCACTCAGAATTCATTCCCGTGGACTCCTTATGTCCTGCATTAGCTTTTAGAGTTTTCATTTCCCAGCCGCCATGTTCTAACTTTCCGTATGTCTCATATGTTGACAACTGCAGAACCTCAGTGTGTGGAGGTGACTTCTGAAAATGCCCACGGCCACCCATGCACTAAGTGTTTGCAGTCATCCACATGTCTGTTTCCTGCTCTGTGGGATGAGGTGGGAAATGCTGTCATCCTCGTCTGTGTCCCCTCTTCTTCCTGCGTAAGCTGTGAGGCCCTCGACTGCACAGAGCCCAGGGAGCTGGGGGGTGCGAGCGACGTGCCCAGGGCCTTCGGGTCACTGCTCTTGTGAGGTCCCTGCCTGTCTCTACCCAAGTTCCTCCCTCTCGCCCCAGGGGTGCCACGGAGGGGCCTTGGGTGGCTCTGAGATCCGGTGTGGGGAAATGGAGGTGGAGGGTTTTTTAGTTTGGGTTTGTAGGGACATATTAATGTGCCCCACACTCATTTCTAAGTGTAGCTAGGTTGCTGTATTTGCAGTTTTACTTTTTTTTTTTCATAAAAAATTCCCATGAATTGTTGAAACTTCAAGCCCTACGAATCTGGCATCCATCCCTGTGGCCTCTGGAACTGCCTGGGGCGTTCTCCTTTCCACCAACCCACGGTGGAAATACGTATGATCCAAACACAGCAGCACAAGGCAGCCACGCCTGTCGCAAAGCCTCTGTCCCACGTGAATCTAACATATTTCAAGCCCCTCTGTCTTAGGTGACCTGATACTGATGCTCCTTTTATTAACCAATAATCAAGAGCTGACTGATCATTAACAAATAAAACACAAATGCATTTAACCTTAACAGACACTGTTAAAAGGGTGTTTCAGATGCCATGGAAGCTGCTGGAGGTCCTGAAGCCTGTGCCCCGGGGATGAGAGGGGCTCAGAAAGCCACAGGGACACCGCGGGCATGAAACCCTCATGGCCACCGGAGACCTCCCGCGCCCTCACAGTACGAGACTCAGAGCTCCACAAGATTAAAGCAGCAAAAGGTTATGGTGCTCCTCCCCTGCCAGCGGGCCCAAGGCAAACAGCTGCATAAATAAACAAACCAGAGGAAGAACGTTCTATTTTCATCCCTGATCCATTCACATCCATGCCAGTGAAATACCAGATGGAAACTGATGTCAAGCCTCTCTCTCCACATTACCAGCTTGCTGGCGGCTGAGGACCCCGGGATGCGGCTCAGGGCAGCCTGCTAAGAGGTCAGCTCAGGGCCCTGCGGTCAGCACGAGTGCCGCTGCCTCATCACTGTCCCCCACCCCAGGAGCCACAGCCTCTGTACCATCTGCAATCAGGTTTTACTTTTGTCAATTTCCAAAACATAAAAATGTCAAACAATCACATACAATTTCCATTGTACTTAAAAGCAGCTATAAATTGTCATTTCATTGAGATCAATGAAGAGAGGATCAAAGTTGACCTGAACTTTCACATATAAAAATGCCACGTGTGACGTGTTGCTCAGATTAATTCCATCAGAGAAAAAAATGTCTGCAAAGTATTGACAATCTGTTTCCACACAATATGTGTTCATGAGTCTCGTATTTTTTAAAATTTATTTTTCAGTTTAGTAAATTTAATCTTTAGTCTTATTAAGTTTATATAAAAACTGGCTTGTGGGCAACACATTTATACATAAAATACGGTAAAAGCCAACACCTGTCAATAGTACAATGTCACCTCCAGGCAATGAATTTAAAAGGTCTAAGGTCTTTTAATTAACAAAGAAGTTTGTTCTCAATATTATGGTCAATTTATCACATACAGGGGGCAAACAAAATACAGTTTGTAAAACCCTTCCTTTAAATTTTGACTTCTGGTATATTTTAAAATATTGATTTCCTACTAATATTTACTAAGATGCTTGTACATTTTAGTCAAATCAAATACTTTGTTTCAACAGTCACTATTTTAGGATATAAACGTCTCTCTAATAGGAAACATCCTGTACAGCTTGAGCGTCCCAAATCTGAAAATCCAAACACTGAAATGCCCCAGAATCCCAACCTTCTTGAATGCTGGCCTGACGCTAAAAGTTCCAGAATCCCAACCTTCTCGACTGCTGGCCTGACGCTAAATGTTCCAGAGTCCCAACCTTCTCGAATGCTAGCCTGACGCTTAATGTTCCAGAATCCCAACCTTCTTGAATGCTGCCATGATGCTCAAAGGAAATGTTTATTTGAACATTTTGTATTCTGGATTTTTGGATTTCAGATGCTCAATCAGTACCTAATC